TATTAAGTACCTCGTTTTGACTCACTAAGATTATTATTGTTAATACTATTATTATTTTTGTTTATTATTTTTTTTCATTATTATTACTAACACTAATATTATTGTTTCTATTTGTTATTATTATTATTATTATTATTATTATTCTGCAAAGCAGCTATCGTAACAACTGGTTCAATCAAACTTCAAAGGCACGTTACATATGAGTTTACTAATAAATAGACACAAGAATGAATGAGAAACGGAAATAATTAATAATTATCGAAAATTAATGTGAAAATTGTGCTAAAAACATGAAATGATTAATTGAAATTCGTTAGAGTCTATAAAACTGCAACTCAAACGCATAGAAATGGACATATTTTTAAAAATTCTGCCTTACTTCTGACGGTAAGAAATATTGAATTTTGGTACAAATGGAAATTGAAGAACAAGGAAGTAGCTAGTAGCTACTTTAAACTATCGTCAGTCATGAAAAGATCCGGTCAAATGTCACGATTTTAGATCTGGGAACAAGGCACGAAAAGGAAAAGAATCGGCGACAGGCCACATCAGGCCTACGCTTCAGCGCCGACATCACTATGTTATGTTAAGGAAAGCGTTGAATCTTTTATAGAAGTGGATCCGCAAAATGAAGTGGTTCGCGAAACGAAGCCAGGAGGAAACGATAAGTTCGAGGTAGAACGCGCTATAGCAGAATACGCATATATATGTTTTGGTTTAAACATTGGAAGTCGAGAACACAATATTGAAATTCAAATGAATGAGTCACTGTTCCAAGTTTGAGCGTCTCTCTCTCTCTCTCTCCCTCCAATTCTCACCAAATATTTCCGGTGACAACCGAGCTCAATGTAAGGAGCCGATCAACTCAAATAAGCAGAAACGGAAGGGTTGAAGACCAAGTAGAAGCGGTTGGGTGGAATCTTATCTGAATGAGACAGATAAACAGCTTAAGCGTAAAATAACGGATTCAAGGTTTCGTAGCAACGGAATTCAGTAGGTAACATGGGGCAACGGGACCACTGCGGGTCATGGGACCATAGCGGATTTCCCGCTAGGTATGGCAGATATTGGTCCGTGTTCTCTACCGCCGGTCGACAGTTTCACTGGGCTGAAGTGTACGGCTCTACGTTTTGCTAAGAGTTTACGTTGCTAAGTTACTCGCAAATAACTGTTGTAGCCCAGATAAAAGTTTTTTGCTGCCAAGTAAAACTGTTTTCGATTACTGTATATGAAGCATTTGAAATTACTGTGAACTATATTTTGAAAGTAATATTTATAGGGATAACTTTGAATTCAAGTTTAGACTATTAGCTTTTAAAATAAAATGTTGACACGATATAAATTAAAATGATACCTAGTGGGGCAACGGTCCCATGCGCGTCAAGGGGCGAAGCGCCCATGATGGGCACAATAATTCTTTGTGAATTCTTGTGCTATACATCATTAGATTTGTCTCAACGAGTTTTCAAAACCGTGACTAACATTTTAAATTGTAGAATACACTTTATTTTGTATGATTTTTTATTTGCCGCCTCTAGGCAGCAGGTTCTAGTTTCTAGTTGTGCGTATTTATTACCCCTTATCGAGTTCCTGACTCATGCCTTGCCAAAAGTTGATTTCAGTCAACACCAATGAGCCAAAAGTTGATGAGTTTTTATGGTGTTGGCTGAAATCACGATTAAGTACGAATTCCGTGCACATAATATCTAGATTTATGGACGAAACTGGAACTAAGTTTTTTCTTATCAAGTACAGTATATATATTTTTTCTAGTCAAGGATGAATTTTTAATGGCAAGGATATATTTTTCAAGTAAAAGATATATATTTTTATGTCAAGGAAAAAATTTTTTACGTCAGTGATTGATTTCTTAAGCCAAGAATATATTTTTTCAAGTTAAAGATATGATTTTTTAGTTGTTAATAAATGAATGAATGTAATTGTTTATTACATTTTTCTTATTTTGAACTGTCGAGTGTTGTTTTATAATTTTTAAACAAAAAATATGCAATTGTGGTAAAGGGACCAGGGATGGGCGCCTTCCCCCAAGCCCATGGGCCCATTGCCCCAGGGGTGGGGCAATGGGCCCATTTTGACATTTTTTACAAAATAGTGTTTCATCAAAAATTAAATTACTCCATGGGCGCTTACTTCACATCATACATTCCTCATTAGTTGTAACTTTAAATAAAACAAAGAACTACCTCGTATCAATTAAAACTTCATCAAAAAAATTTAGTTAAAAAAAGGGGATGCCCCATGTTACCCTACGAGGCAAATAAAATCAGAACAATGATAACACTTTGAAGATAATCAGAATAACTAACCTATTTGTTCCGCAAAAAACACAACCCCAACTCTTTACATCTAGAAATTCTACTAGCTGGACTGGGATACTTTGGACACTTTAACATGGAATGATTAGCTGCGCCACAAAATTTACAAGACTTACTCGAAATACCTGCTGCCGAATTCACAAGAACAGATCTTTCGTCAAACAACGTGCTGACAGGCTGCATACCATAGGCTTTGTCTTTCGGATGAGCGGGCCTAATAGTTGAAGTTTCCTTACGCAAGTTGAGGTTTCTAATGATATTTACATATAGGTGTCAAAAATCTGATCCAAGCTAGGATAATTAGTGTCTAATCTAATAATGAATTCATCCATAACAATGGCAGGCAACTCATGAAAACCTAATGGGTAACAAACTCTGCAGAAGATTCATTGCTTAACAAGTCCCTCATATAATGTTTCAATTCACTTAAGACACAACGAACCTCATTCAAAAAAGTTTAGTTTCAAGAAAATTATGTCCAGGTTTAAGTTTTAATGCAAGAACTTCTGGTACAGATCATCAATCACAGCCTTGCGGTTCAAAAATTCAGATTCAAATAATTTTAAAACTTCTTCTATTAAGGAGTTGTGACTGTATCTTAAAGAGTTCTATCCTGTGTCTTTTAATCTGACTAATATTAAGGAGTTGCGATTGTAGCTCCAGGAGTGATATCTGATCACAGTGTGATAGCTTTCGTTTCGCATTACAGATTTTGAAATTAGTCCAAGACATCACCACCTGTTGTAGCTCCAGGAGTGAGATCTGATCGCAGGTGGTGATGTCTTCCTAAGCGTGATGTTGACATTATCGCAGGTGGTGATGTCTTCCTAAGCGTGATGTTGACATCATCACAGGTGGCGATGTCTTCCTAAGCGTGATGTTGACATCATCGCAGGTTGTGATGTCTTCCTATGATGTCTTCCTAAACGTGATGTTGGCATCATCGCAGGTGGTGATGTCTTCCTAAGCGTGATGTTGGCATCATCGTAGGTGGTGATGTCTTCCTAAGCGTGATGTTGGCATCATCGCTGGTGGTGATGTCTTCCTAAGCGTGATGTTGACATCATCGCAGGTGGTGATGGCTTCCTAAGCGTGATGTTGACATCATCGCAGGTGATGATGTCTTCCTAAGCGTGATGTTGACGCCATCACAGGTGGTGATGGCTTCCTGAGCGTGATGTGTCAGTGGGTGTGATTTTATCATTTATATGTTTATGTGATCTCGGACATTTTATTATGAACATAACGCTTAGGAATTATTATTATTATCTGTGATAGCTCTGATCTTGACGCAGTTTTACTGCGTCAGGTAACTGCTCAGTCAATCATTAGTTGCGAGGCTTAAGTGCTCAATGCTCGTAAAACAAGCTTCATAATTTGGTCGACTTATTCTTATAAATTAACTTCCGTTATCAGATTTTGCACTTCGTAAGCTATAAATTGTAAAAATTCTTACATTAGCACTAATTCTCACCGTAATGATTGCACGAGTTCAGAATACCAGAAAAACACGCATCTCTTGTGATTGTTTCAAATAAAAAATTTCAAAGAAAATCAGGCAAATACACAGCAATACACAGCAATGTAATGCACAGAGTGCATTATGATTAACGCGTCTGTACGTATGTGTGGCAATATACGAAGAACTGTGATCGAACATTAATGAAATCGATGCTAATTGCATCTGAAGGCAAGGTAACCAAGGTAGACACCCATAGCAGACCAAGCTATTGAGGAGCCTGGTCTGTTGAGGGTCTTGAGGAGCCTGACCTTTTGAGGGTCTTGATGAGCCTGACCTGTTGAGGGTCTTCAGGAGCCTGACCTGTGAGGGTCTTCAGGAGCCTGACCTGTTGAGGGTCTTGAGGAGCCTGACCTGTTGAGGGTCTTGAGGAGCCTGACCAGGGATCTTGAGGAGTCTGACCTGTAGAGGATCTTGAGGAGCCTGACCTGTTGAGGGTCTTGAGGAGCCTGACCTGTTGGGGATCTTGAGGAGCCTGACCTGTTGAGGGTCTTGAGGAGCCTCACCTGTTGAGGGTCTTGAGGAGCCTGACCTGTTGAGGGTCTTAAGGAGCCTGAGGTCTGCGATGAGGCTGCGGACGCGGCTGCTGAGCTGGTCCCAGACAGGCTGCAGCAGACACGCGACCACGGGCTCGAACACGGGACTGAGGGCCCACTCTGGGGTAAGCTGCGGGACAAGACGGGACTGAGGGCCCACTCTGGGGTGAGCTGCGGGACAAGACGGGACTGAGGGCCCACTCCGGGGTGAGCTGCGGGACAAGACGGGACTGAGGGCCCACTCTGGGGTGAACTGCGGGACAAGACGGGACTGAGGGCCCACTCTGGGGTGAGCTGCGGGACAAGACGAGACTGAGGGCCTACTCTGGGGTGAGCTGCAGGACAAGACGAGACTGAGGGCCCACTCTAGGGTGAGCTGCGGGACAAGACGAGACTGAGAGCCCACTCTGGGGTGAGCTGTGGGACAAGACGAGACTGAGGGCCCACTCTGGTGTGAGCTGTGAGACAAGACGGGACTGAGGGCCCACTCTGGGGTGAGCTGCGGGACAAGACGGGGCTGAGGGCCCACTCTGGGGTGAGCTGTGGGACAAGACAGGACTGAGGGNACTCAGGGCCCACTCTGGGGTGAGCTGTGGGACAAGACGGGACTCAGGGCCCACTCTGGGGTGAGCTGTGGGACAAGACGGGACTCAGGGCCCACTCTGGGGTGAGCTGTGGGACAAGACGGGACTGAGGGGACTGTTATAATCATTTCTTCACAATCACCCAAACAACATCAACCTGCAGAACAGTTCCGGGACAATTAACGCGAGTCAAACACTCCCTGCAAAGCATCAGTTCCCAAAGCTAGATTTACAATAATCGGATCGGAAAATGGCCTTAGGAGTTTTGAAAATCCTCCTATGATCTACAAGTGTCTGAAATAAGTATTAGTCTCATAAAGTCGCGTACGGTTTGGTCAAAAGTAGAATTACTGGAAGCTTAAGAATGTACACGTGAACGCGACAATAGTCAACACATACATGGTATTTCAACGCTCGACAATATTATTGCGGCAAGTCGTCGAGAGCAATATAAATTCCTTAGCATTTAAATCAACTTATGACATACTGTATCTTTTGCCTTACTTAATGATAGTTCGGTAAGATGAAGGGTATACCAAAAGTCCCCCCTTCTTACCATCAAGACGCTTCATTCGCCATCAAGACCAACACGAAAAGATCAAATCAAATACCACACGCACCATACCACAAACATGCCACGCACTGTGAACGATGAAGTTCGTTCACTATTAGCCGTGTTAATTTTATCTCTTGTGCACACCGAAAGCCACATCTAGCGTAGCCGCCTTAGTAACATTGATGTCGAACCTTACGTGGGCGGTAGCGACGTAATGCAAGGTCAGGTCTGAGTGGCTGTGAGTCAGGTAGTCAGTCGTGTCCCGCCCGCCCTACAGTGAGGTTCATACCTGTTCTCACTCCGCTCTGTCGACTCTCAGCTATTCCTTGCTCTAACGCTGAGTCGTGGCTGTGCCACGAAAGATTAAGCATACTGCTTCTCAATAATGTACCTGATGTCACTCTAGTAACTTTTAACCGTGCCTGTTTTTTAAACTGTGCTTTGCTGACATATAACTACGTTTTATCCGTGTTACCGAAGTTTTAATGAACATCCCAGTGCAATAAAGAGCAATTGAACTTTTTACAAGATAGTTACCGGCGTTTGGCCGTAAGGGCTCTGATCATTCTGACAAGTATAAAGGTTGCGGCAGGCGTCCGGTGACAGCACCATACCCCACGCACCCCACGCACCATACCACACGCACCCCACGCACCATATCGTTGTCGATGAAGCCCTTATTGGCGAGCCTGAGCTCGTGGACGGTGCAGGCGACGATGTCGACGAGGCTGGCCTGGATGGCGTGCATGGCGGCCGTCATCGTCAGGTGAAGCTCCACCACCTCGGGCTGATCAGTTACAAACTACATGTAAACATTACAAGTTCTTACACATGAGTTCTTATAATTTCACTTGAACAATCAAGTACATATTATATATGATGTTGCAACGATTGACGTTGTTCTTAAGCGTGGATTACGGATAGTCTGATTGACCAATGAGTGGATGGTTCAAATGGTTATACGGATAGTCTGAAGCTGTACCTGGTGCTGTGCGAGGGTGGAGTTCACGGTGAGGTGGAAGCGAGGGCAGAGGTACAGTCTCCTGACGAAGAGGTTCCTCATGACCCGCGACACTTGACAGAAGCCTTGCGTGAAGCTCAGCGCGCTGTTAGACAGCGCCTTGATGAAGCCTGTCTGCAACCGGGGAAATTAAATGATTATTCCTTATCGCCGAAACAGTGAAAAATAACAAAAATAATGAACAAGTTGAGATATAAAGCTCGTCAAAATATAGAAACATTCAATTATGATCCGATGCGGTTCAAGTGCACAGATAATGTATACTGACGCAGGCAGCAGCAAACTTGAACCGAGTTTATACTCATCACAGTCGACCAATTGAACGACCAAGAATACATGCACATATCTGTATTATTTGCGAGCTGTTCTCTGTGACGCTTACGACAAATAGAAGTCATGTACTGGACTAGGTAGTATTTTACTATGCTCTTTTTCTTGCAGGCTCAGTGGGCAGCAGAACAATCTATAAGATATTCTCAGTTTATTATCAATACTTTAAACAAACTTTTATAAGCCAGGAGCTGGAAGAAGCACCTTGTTTTTCTGGCGGTAGAGACGCAAGATGAACGCTTCTTGACAGCTTTCCAGGATTTTGTGCGCCTTCCACACCACAATGCCTGCACGCCACAGAGAAACATGATATTTTTGCTGACATAACCGCTTGTTTAACTCTTCGACTCACAACTGAATTGTTCCAACACCAACATCTGTTCAGCGGCTATGCGGCCTGTTCTGTTACGAACAGATCTGTACGAAACAGCAGACTTCTTGCCACTATATCCATGACGAGAACTTCAAGCAAACACACAAACAAGTATACAAACTGGTGAACATTCAGGAAAGTTTTAAATTAGAAAGCTGGCATTAGAAATACTAAATGGTTTTCAGAGCGCGTGACTAGCGTACTTTTTGTTGCGGGATATTAACCGAGTTTGAACTTCATAACTTGTGGTGATGGAACTTTGCATGAAGCATTGCAGTGGTGGAGGGGTTAAATATTCCCGATATATTGCGCTTCATCACATCCCAATATAATTATATTATTTATTGTCTTCAGTATTATTATTTTATATTATTATTATTACATTATATTATTAAGTATATTATATGTAAATACAAGTATAGTATAAGCACAGTACATTCATCATATAAGTAGAGTACAGCACTACGATGACAGTACAAGTACAGGACATGCAGCACCTGAGATGAGGTGCTGCATGTGCATCTATAGTATAGTATGGTACAAAAATAAGCACAATATAGTACAGTATAAGTATAGTACAATAATAAGCATATATAAGTACAGTACAGCACTATATTAGAGTACAGACACATGCAGCACCTGAGATGAGGTGTGCGGGCGCGCGGTTCATGAGCAGGTCGACGACCAGGATGCGGGAGGAGACGAACAGCGCACCCCCCTGCAGGTACAGCGCCGACCTGTTGTACACATGTATAGTGCTGTGTACTACTGTACAGTTTACAGCGCACCCCCCTGCAGGTACAGCGCCGACCTGTTGTACACTTGTATAGTGCTGTGTACTACTGTACAGTTTACAGCGCACCCCCCTGCAGGTACAGCGCCGACCTGTTGTACACTTGTATAGTGCTGTGTACTACTGTACAGTTTACAGCGCACCCCCCTGCAGGTACAGCGCCGACCTGTTGTACACTTGTATAGTGCTGTGTACTACTGTACAGTTTACAGCGCACCCCCCTGCAGGTACAGCGCCGACCTGTTGTACACTTGTATAGTGCTGTGTACTACTGTACAGTTTACAGCGCACCCCCCTGCAGGTACAGCGCCGACCTGTTGTACACTTGTATAGTGCTGTGTACTACTGTACAGTTTACAGCGCACCCCCCTGCAGGTACAGCGCCGACCTGTTGTACACTTGTATNAGCAGGGTGAGCGTGTGACAGTCTGTTCAGCCGCTTATTTCGGCTGTCATATGCAGATGTGTATAAGAGACAGCCCCTGCAACACTACCAGCGGCGAGAAGCAAGCAACAGCATCGTGCATCAGGTGGCCCAAATGAGGGCGGATGAACGATAATCAGAGGCGGCGATCCATCGTGGCCTGGGATTGCTATGTCCCAAACAAATACTAAGGATACTAAGTGTGCAGCGTCGACCTGTCATACATAACAGTGCTGTGTACTGACTGTACAGAACGCCTGCTGCCTCATGTTGTCATATTAACATACTGAAAATATATTGAATAATATCCCATGGCTGATATATATTGTACTGCAATGATGATAAATACTGCATCTTGATTTTTCCAACGACGATTTGGAAAAATAGAATCACCCCAGTAGTTCTTATGCTTCACCACACAGCAACTCATCACCCCAGTAGTTCTTATGCTTCACCACACAGCAACTCATCACCCCAGTTGTTCTCATGCTTCACCACACAGCAACTCATCACCCCAGTTGTTCTTATGTGTCACCACACAGCAACTCATCACCCCAGTTGTTCTTATGTGTCACCACACAGCAACTAACGATTCAATTCAATACGATTCAAAAATACACGTCCGATTAGTCACCCCGGTATTGCGCTCGCGTGTCTCCATGAAGTCACCCAATCAGATCTGTCATCACCACCGCTTCTTCTTCGTCGTCGTCACTACTTCACTACAGAAATGCCCACTATATACACAGTGAAGGTGTAAAAAAATCTGGATTCCTTAACTTCAAGTTAGGAGAAAACTTTGAGATTGTTCACGTCCGTGCTTTGGTAGCGCTGGGCTAGGCATTGTGTAGTACGGAGCCGTGACGGAGGAAAGCATAGATACATTATACATTAAAAGATATTTACAGCTGATTTCAACTCCTGCCTTCTGCAACTAATAAGGATTGGTTCGGAAGGGCCTCAACGGGCCGTAAGATGTTCACGGTCATGATGATGTTGAGGCTCAGTTGACATTCGGTGTGAGTTCACAGCAAAACCACATGGCCGCACTCGCAACAACGACATCATCACTGTTGCAGTCAGCCTTTCAACTCAATTACTACAATTATAAGATCCGTTCCTTCATCACCGCACAAGCATCACATCAACGCCTGCCACCTCAATCACAGCCACCACACCCTCTCCTTTACCAACTCCACACAGCCATCACACCCTCTGCTACCAACACCACACCACCCTATACCCTCTCCTACCAACACCCTATACCCTATGCTACCAAAACCCTATACCCTCTGCTACAACACCCTATACCCTCTGTTACAACACCCTATACCCTATGCTACAAACACCCTATACCTTCTGCTACAACACCCTATACCCTCTCCTACACCCCCACCTCTCAGCGACAGGCACATCAGCGGTCAGGATGCGGGGGGGCAGCGCTGGGTCCTGTAGGAGGTGGGCACAGGTCTCGATGACGTAGGACGCCTCCTCGACGCTGGCGCCCACCACGAGCACCAGGCAGGACGGGGCGCTGTGGGCCGCTACCAGCGCCCCTAGTAGCCGCTCCAGCCCCAGGCCTCTGTTGTGACACCATCACCACCCGTCAGTCTTCACTGTCTCACTATATCAGGTATTAATATTGTTTAACAACTCAACTACCTGCCGCATCCCAGCGGACATAGGTCTAATATCTCTAAATATTTCCCGAACCTCCCGTTTCCTACATAATGCAGGTTTCATGCATTAATTACTGAAGACTGTAAAGAGACTTCGCTTCCTTAATTAGATCAGTCATGACACTTATCTAATCACCACAGCCTAGGGCAGTTTGGGATAAACGCCAATTCGTCAGTTAGCTTGGAGGGGTTGAGGATACCGAAGACTCAAGGTCTAAGTCCAAACCTTACAAAGAGTGAACTAGTGTCCTAACCTGCCACGTTCACGTCATTGTGGTGTGAAGTATTCTCGTTTCATACATTATCCTTCTACATGTCATAGTAAATTACCGTGCCATGATGAGCAGTCCATCCTGCTCCATGAGCTGAGCCAGCATCTCCTGTTCGTACTGCAGCATGTCGACGCCGCTGAGTCAGTGACGAACTTTATTAAGCACCTCCAGACTTGTAGCAACGAGTTTATTTTATTATATTTATTTATTATTTTAATATATTTAGGCCTCAAAATAGACACTTAGTAATTCGGCTTAGTAATAATTGAAACTTTTTAGCGGTGAATCGTTGTCATGAATCACTGAAATTCGTATCAAGGCAGGGAAAGCTTTTGAAACTTTCTTTTTTCAAAACAAGTCTTGGATGTGATGCGACGCGGCAATCTACACGACAACGGACGCCTTCGTTAAGACCAGTAAACTTAAATCAAAACCATTCCAGTTTTGAACTACCCAAAACATGATCATTAGGTTATGATCAATAGGTAAACAATCAAGTATTCGAGAATGAAAGTCGAATAGAATTGTTCAAAGAACTGTTCTGTTTGAAAATATAGAACGAAGTAGCATTTCCTCACCAGACGCTAGCTCCACGTTCCGGCCGTGGCCAACTAAATAAGATGTATTGTAACCTAAGAGTGATTCGTTCATTAACGTTTTATAAACTTTTGGGCAATTCGATAACTACGAAGACTTAAGCAGACAAGTAGCATCCCGCCCACTTCCCAATTTGCTTCTTCTCGTAGATAATGCGCTTCAAAAAGCGTTTAGTGGAAACGTGATATTCTAGTCATTTTTCACGTATAATATGATCATAACACTAGCAGATTACAGTTACCGCTTATCACAATGAGTAACGTGTTCTAAGTGAGCGTTGCAACGCGTGCAGCAACAAGCACTACGAGTTCAGCAGCTATCTTGGCGCGCTGCAATACAGACGAGGTGTACAGACCGATAGATTGAATAACTGAACAAACTTATCCTCACTTCAGAGGGAAGGTGAAGATAATTTATTTCTGGACAGAATTAGACATGGAGGCCACGGGACCGAGGGAGTGCCAGAGCTGCCCTGAGTGCCACCAAGTGTCACCCCCGTGCGTGATGCCGCAACCGCGACGCATTTTCCGCCAGAAAATTAAATTAAAATTAGTAAATTAGAGAAAAATATAAGACAACATGACTCAAAGAGATAAATATCATGCGTCAATAAATTATGCTCCCGGATTGCAAAACAAAGGTTGATGAAACACAGGTTTATGTTAATAATTTTTAGTTGAAGAGGTGCAAGGCATCGCCTAAATATTACTAGGTACAGTGGATGACTGCGTGAGTATCGGGATAAGGAAGGGGGACCAGCAAAATCCATAATTTACATTAAACGACATTCAACTCAAATCTGTTTGTGATGATTGTGCGATTTCAAGTGACGTTCATTTAACAAAACGCGGTGATACGAAGTGACCGCAAGGAAGCTGGCAGAGGAACAAGCGGAACTGTCAAGAACAGGAACGATAGCGCATGTCGCCACGAGGATGTTGGATGCCACGTTTGGTCAACACAGCAAGACAAGCTAGACATATTAACTCCACAACAGAGACCTGCAGTGCTGCAGCGATCTCTGCTGCTTGCAGCGCCAGAAGCTCTCAGGACAGGCGCATCAATTATGGCTGCTGAGGTCTAATGCAGTTGGCAAGATCCCCAAAGAAGCACATAAACTGTAGAGTGCAAGTCACAAATAACTGAGATGCACATCAAGAAGGGGTTCATTGACTCGATTCGTTCATTGACTTTTTAAACATAAATGCAAGCGTTTGGCATGATGTGACAAATCACAAGTGTATCGATAAATTCATTAAGTAACCCATGAGATAATAATGTAAATTATTGGAATGAATACATGTACTTAATCAATTATCTTTTCTATAATTATCAATTTTACAAATTCAAAGATGGATATCTATAAAATTAATCTCTTTGGAGTTATAAATGGTGCACATAGATTGCAGATATCACAAGCATATCTTATCTTAAAACTATTCAGATTAACTATGCATTCTACTTTCTTCTAAGACACGCTACTGGCCATAAAAATATCCCGTGATTCCAGGGAGCTTTGCTCTAAATATACACTTTTGGCTTTACTATTATTGGCAAGAGAAGCCATTCATCTATTCATTGTTGCGGTTATTTATACACTTCTTGAGGCATCATTAGCACCTGAACAGCAATGGACGAGTAGACAAATTATGTTACTATCGCTCGCACGAACTGCTTGACATCCTGAGACGGGACTAAAGTGCCGTACATGTGGAGGATGCTGCACTGAATAACTTGTCTAGAGAAGCCAAGATGCCGTACATGTGGAGGATGCTGCACTCAATAACTTGTCTAGAGAAGCCAAGATGCCGTACATGTGGAGGATGCTGCACTGAATAACTTGTCTACAGAAGCCAAGATGTCTGCTGAAAACCAGAGAATAGGAGAAAGTGTGTCACACAAAACAAGGTATAAGACCTGTAAGAGGTACAAATAATAATTAAGAGGGCTAGAATGTGTGACAAGGAGAAGAAATCAAGACAAGAGTGTTAGTTCGAGAATACAAGAGGGCAAGAGGGAGTGAGAGAGAGGAAACATTTGGGCGGTCGAGTAATAAAAGTAAGATGATGCGGCACAAAACCTCGTCGTTTAGATCAACAAACGGCATGCAAACTGCACAATAATCGCAAACAATAAGACCATAAGGTATGAAACAAAAAATCAAATGTTACTCCCTCAAAAATACATCTAGATCTTTTCCGGTATAGCGATCGATAGAAGCAAACTATCAACAAATATAAAGAAGTTAAATAAATACATGACGACCACAAAGAGCATTCCCAGGACAATTTTCTAATTTAGGCAGAGCTTCAGTAGTAATCTGTTCTGTTTTGCTGTGATTGTAAGCAAGCGGATGACGACGTTTACGTACAAATATTAATACGAGAACATTAGAGAAGGTAAATACAAGATCTTCAGACGAGCCACGAGGCTCGGACTAAAGCAATAACAAACATCTGCAATGATCCCATAGAACTACTCCCAAGAATTTAACACATAAACTTACAACTGGAACACATACAGGCTTTTGCTTATTATATCTACCACCTTACTCTTTAATTTATTGGCACATGAACATAGATGAGGAATGATGCTGCAAATGAAGACGATACTTCAATGCTGCATTCATGGAAGCCAGAACAGAAGTGCGCGTATTTATTGCTGTGCACTCCTCTTAGCCTTATGCTTGAGCGACTTGGAAATAGACGTTTCGTCTTGAGAATAAAACTAGGATCAGATGAAGATACTTAGCTTAGGAAAGTATAAAATACATTAAACGAAGCAATATAACAGCAATATTCATTCATCATAATCCTTCCGAATCACAGAAAGTCTCTGAATTTTATGATAAATAAGACCTAATCTTGAATAAACCAGAATCGTAACACATTATGCTAGTGGAATTAAGACAGAATTTTCATTCAAACCCTCAAACTTACAGAACAGCCATAATTGATCAATAAAACTAAATTATAACGGTTAAAAACAATGAAACAGACATTAGGTGGTGGTAAACATTTTTAATCGCTTGACCGCAAACTGGAATGCTTGTGGTACAACATCTCTCTACAGTCTGCCTACACATAGTCAGTTAGGCGTACACTCTAACGCCATTCACAGTAGTAACTTCCTGTTAAATTACACATTAGGGTTTCAATTGCAATCTTTGTTATACATAAAATGAGATTTCTTCCTTGTACCAACGAAGATAAGTGAGCAAATGTAGCAATAGATTTGCCATCTAAAGCTTGAGCACAAAAATGACTATGAGATAAGCTTGACCGTTACACACCAGCACTAATAATACAGGCAGGGCAGTCAGACGGGCGTGGTTTTGAACTCAGGTAGTCAGGGACTGTGCACCTCTACGACGGTGTGGGCCTCATGTAAACCTCGACGAACACGGTTTGCCTGGTTGTTGTCCTCAGGGTTACTGTCCTGCCCTCGACGACCACAGTGTGCCTCGTTGTTGTCCTCAGGGTTACTGTCCTGCCCTCGACGACAACAGTCTGCCTGGTTGTTGTCCTCAGTGTTACTGTCCTGCCCTCGACGACCACAGTGTGCCTGGTTGTTGTCCTCAGTGTTACTATCCTGCCCAGCTGCCCCCGAGGTCCTGACACTGTAGACCAGGACGTCTGGTGGGGAGCGTGTTCCACCAAACATATGTGGTGCTGTTGGAGATGAGGGAGTGGATGGGAGGGAGCCGTGGGAGCAGCGACAGTAAGGCTCCCGCTTATTGAACTTCAGCCACCACCCAAGGCTACACGAGACCACGATTGCTCCCAGCAACCCACAGGCTCCTTCACCCGTAACCTGAACATCAAGATTTAATATCACATCCGTAAGCATGAGATACATCAAGAAATTCTTATAACATTGCGTGTTTTTATTATTGGCTTCAAATTCACTGGAGCATTGAACGAGATGTAATCCATTTTTTCAACTGGAAGTCATAAATCATGAGATTTATGTATATAACAGTCAGAGACTCGGCACATATTTATTTGATGATGCAACAGTATTATTGCTTAGAACTTGTTGAGGTGATATTTAATCCAGTACAAATAAGCAGAATTATTATTGATTACTCGCCTTGGGTGTGAATATGATGCCATAGCGTCCAGCCTGAGAAAACAAGGACCAGAAGACCGTGGAGACGGGCAGTGAGAGAGACGCTACGCACAGCGGCAGCACCAGAGAGTGGCACAGCAAGCACAGGTATTTGACGCTCCTGTATAAACAACACAAGCAACAGTAAATATTCTTATCACTTCTTATTTCTACTTTAGAATTTTAAGGTCAGCTTTATTTATTTTCAGAAAAATGTCAGCCTGATTTATTTTCGATAATAAAAAAATATAGAATTCCCATTTTCTTTATGGTACTTTGACAGGTGGGTAGACAAGTACACCAATAAGAAATATAATTTACCAAAGAAACAAGCAAATGTACAAGACAGCCAGCCAGCCGTGCAGGGCCGTGGGGCCACATTGGTTCAGGTTGGAACTGAAGTGACAAGCCATGCCATGACTTGACAGGTTCAGGAACTGGTCAAATGATCCTGACTGCAACAGAGACAATGCATTACTAATGAAAAATAATTTATTATCACCAATACTTTAAAATTTGAACATAAGCCTGGGCCTAGATAATCAAGGTTTATATTTTGACTTAAAATGGAATATTTTTCAATTTTATTTGGATTACGAAGCCATAGGGATGAAAAATTTAATTCCCAACAAGACGCACTCAAACATCACATGATATAAATCACGGCATGAATTTAATGAATAACGTAACTATAACTATACTGATTGAATAACAATAACTATAATGATTAGAAGCAGCATGATGAATCTGAGAGGCGGACCTTGCCAAGGGCGGTGAAGAGGTCCGTCCAGAAGAGGGAGGCGATGGTGCAGAAAGTCGAGATAACAAACCAAAAAAACAGCGCATCAACGTTGGCATCAGTGATGGCCACTGCATGAGACGGACATGAAGGCATTACATGGGTAGCACTGGTGAACATCGCGGGACACTTCAGGCGAAATCCACAGCATTTAGACCTCGGGGCAGGCAGTAGCTGGTCTAGAGAGCTGCAGCTCACGGATGTTACGTCATCTTGGGGAACAACTTCACCAACAAGTTGAGATGATACGCCATTGTCAGCACAGGGAGGAGGACATCGTCTCTCGCCAGGTGTTAGGTCGGCAGGTGTTGACTCAGAAGGGGCTCCATGAAAGGACATCTCGCCACACACGCTTCGCACCGCCACACCGGCACTTGGCACTGTCTCGCTCTGATCATCACAAGCATGAAACGTTCAAATTAATCAATACAAAATATAACTCAGTACTCACTGCAGTGAGTGACAGAAAGCACATTTTCTCGTCGATGAAACGTGAAGTCACGAACTGACAGACAGACAGACAGACGGACGGACATGACGAGCACAATAGCGCCTTTTTTACATAAATGAGAAAATGCGCTAAAAATACAGAATTTGCAAAAATTCATCTTCATTAACAAAATAAATCAGAAAATGGTATTACGTCTTCCGAAAATCGAAGAGATAACTCAGATTTAATTCAATTGATGAAAACCTCAAATACAAGTAAAAATAATAGAAAACAAATTCAGTCCTTGAGTGAAATATCTCAAAGATGTGCAACTAACGATGTTATCAGGCAGTAGCAGGAGCTCCAGCTGTATCCAGACAATGGCGACGATGAGGAGGGCCACGGCATATAAGACGGTCCAGAGGACGTGCTGCTGGTCACTCCAGTCCCCCCCGTCAGTAGCAGGGCTCTGGCGCACCACGCCCCGGCACACGTACTCGTCGTTCAGTTGGAAGTCCATGGCAGTGAAGAGGCCCGCCAGAACACCGCACGGACACAGCAGCTTGCCACTGCTCACCACTGCATCACAAGACTACAGTTGTGATTACATCAAAAATGTCATTAGGTGTGCATCTGGATCATGCGGGACATATATTACCTGAGCGCACGTAGTATTTTAAGGTAAAAATTGAAAAATTAAACACCTTTAAGTATTGAACTAATTTCCAATCATTACAAAAATACATACATTACATCAAACACAAAAAAATGGAAGTATTGTGGGAGGAAAATTAGACATGCCTGCGCCATGGTAGAAGCAATGCATGATTATCATGTAGAGCACCGCAAGACCCATGAGAGGCTCCTGTACATGACAGAGCACACGCTTCCTGTCCAGCGCATACACGATGGCAACACAGGCCACGCCATGCCATATGCCATACCGGAGGACGCTCTGAACATGACCTCCATACCTGGAGTGTTCAGAGGAACAAAAGCTCACTGCTTGCTTAGTTTCATCATACATGGGAATTTAAACAGTGTGCAATTTTTCTGGGAAACTTGTGGTTAACTCTGAAGCATGGTTAAGAAAAATAAACTTTAAACTTCACGGTAATAACGAAAAGAATGCCAGGAGTTATTTTGAGCTCAAATAATAGCTTAGAATATGGAAAGAATACATAAACTGCATATATTATTGGATCCTGATAAAATGCTCACCAGAAGGTTTTCAAAGAAGTGAAGTATTTTATGGAGAAAGAGATCACTGTCAGGAGAGTCACCACACACCACACAAAGAGCAGCCCAACATAGGCCGTCCCTGCTGTGTTCACAGCCTGCACATGAAAAATATTCTATCTAACATTCAATCAGTGAACATTGCTAATTCATGCAGAATACTGTACATTACAAACAAATTATAGCTGGATATCTTCAAAGATAAACATTTACAAATGGAGAATATGGTAGCTTCTATACTATACATCTATATCTATATTTTGTATAATTGAATCATTCTCTTTTCAAAAACTTGTAAATGAAATATATAATATAAAAAAGCTATTTCGTAAGCATTAGATACTAGATAACAATAATTAATTTACATTGTCCAGACTGTAAAAAATAAAAGGAATACACCCAATTACGCATGAAGACAAGATAAATCACTAAAAAAGTTCAATTTAAAGCTATAATGCAGCTACAATTAAGGACAACAATCTCTGAATAATTAATTAAGGATTAAAAAGCTCAGATGGAGAATATCTTCCTCAGTAATATATACTCAAAAATTTTCTCTGATACTAAAATAAGAAAGTTAACACCAGGACAAGGCAAGGCTGACCTGCAGGTAAACAGGCAGAGTGATGACCAGGGCAGCGGCACTACCCACGAGCAGCAGACAAGTGAAGACGACGTGGCACCAGTAGCGGAACACGTCGTGCATGAAGCAAGCACAGCCTCCCACCACCACCTTCTCTCTCCTGAAATTAAATGAAATTGGAATTATTAAACATTTTTAACTGAATTTCGTGGTTTTGAGTGAGTTCATTATTATGGAATGCCGTCATCATGCTTTAGTTAGCACAAAGTGAAATTTAAACCTATTTTTATGCTGCCTTTTTGAAAGTAAAGTAATGTTGATATATATCCTGCAAATTAATCATCATTATCAGCATTTTGATTTCATCAAATTAAATGTTATATACCTATATAATTTTCGGAATAAATCGTTCAGGCAAAGCAAAAGAACATTCTCAAAAGAGATAACTATCAGTATTAAAACTACATAATAGGTATAGTTCAATATATTTATATACATATGATTTTTCTTGTACCATATTTTTATAATGTGCAAATGGCAACTAACCTATAAGCAAGAAAATTAGATGTATATAATATAATGTATAAAGCATCTAGTGGTGTTACATACACAACAGCTTCAGCAGCAGAGCCAGGCTGCAGCAGTCCCTCCTGGTCATCACATGCATCCCCCATCACAGGAAAGACAAATTTCCTGATCCTCACTTAATTAGTCACAACTTAAAATCTTAATATTATTTAAAATTTCAATAAGACTTGCAACATAACACGTTTAAAAGAGACTAACAATAAAGTTGATTGAAACTTGGTTTTGCAACATTTTCTAGTATGTATAAATTAGCAGGTGATTAAGAAAAAAAGAACTAAAAAAATCTGTGGACAAGTTCTCACTTAAATTCTCTGCTCAAAATCACCAATAAAAAACTCTGGCTTATTTCTAAGGCTGCAATGTTAGGTTTCCATAATTTGCCAATTATTTGCCTAACATACTATTCATAACATTACCCCTACAAAGCTCTAGAACTACAATAAAATAATTAGAACAAAAATGGTGGTAAATGCACCAAAATTTAGATGCAGCATCTGACACGCAGGCATATCAAGTCAGGTATATTAAGTACTAGTATGGCCAAATTAATTGCTTGAGAACTGTTCAGCTAAAGTTCAAGTTGAAGCTACTTGGTTAGATTTTGTGTCTTTACAAATTGGCATTCCACAGAGCACCATTCAATCTCCTACCCCTGTTAAGTGAAAAAAATTTACGCATACATTTTACATATGCAGATAATATAACACTATAACAGTCACCTTAGTCATTTTGCTAATGCACATGTTTTCTCTGATAAGTGCTCTTGTTGAATTGGCTCATCATTCTCACACTTACTGCTGAAGAGTGGTGATACTGGTAGCATAGAACCCATCAGGGGGAGATTATCTCTCATCTCTCAACCAGTTTTGAGCTGTGAAGCTAGGTTAACTATTGAAATTAATATGTAAACTTTTCATTGTAGTCAGTGGGCTCCATCTGGATCTTTTTGCCTTCTTTCAGATCATTATTGTTCACAGTGAGTGTTTATGGTTAGGCCCTTAGCACACTGCTCAAACCCAAGGTAGAGCTGTTTTATTTGGATTATTCTGGTATACAAGAAGCTTTGAGCCCTTGCACAGGTAAACATCTTGGCATATGCGAAGCAAAAATTATGTACTTGGCATGCATGCCCAGATCACAACCATGTTCAACACAGACTGTCAAGCCTGCTGCCACTGAAAAACAATCCTAGATTGGAATTTTCCTATCAATGAATGAAATTTTTTGAAATGATCAATTGTAATGAAAAGTGATCAATTTTTCATACATTTGGAATCTCCCAGCCCAATCATAAAGTTTCATTAAGAATTAAATAGGGTATAATTCAACTAGCAGGAATCTTACAGTACCAAAAATGACAGTCATTGCTGCTGCAAGATTTGTCTCTCTAGCTCTAAGCTCTTGTCTGCTTTGTCTCTCAAGCTCTAGTCATCGCTCAAATGCTAGATATATTTGAACATGAACTGTGCAAGTGCAACAATGAACTGTGTTGAAATGCCAACTTGAAAAACACCATTCTTACTCTCAAAGTTACATTCTATGAAAATCTCTCTTGAATATTCCTTCTGAGTTTTGTGTTGTGACAATATTTGCTACCTTCAATGCCTTACAGCCAGTTACAGGCATTGGAAAATTGGCACACAGAAATCCAGTTTAGAAATGGAAATAAAATGTAAAGTCTGATTCCTTATACTTACAGCAAAAATGTCACATGTCAGATGATGGTTATTGGTTTGTAGCATTCAATTTACTGAGAATAATGTATTCACTGCTGCCTTTTCATTATTTTTAAATTCAACTGCTAAAATGTTCTGTCTTTCATTGATGCACAAATCTTTGATCGCAAACTCGTGCATTATTTTGTTTGTTATGTTGCAATTGAAATTGGGTTTAAAGATTTTGTTCATGTCCAGAGTTTGGAGACAGTTGCTTACCTAGAAAAGTGTTTTCATTCCCAGATGACTAAGCAGTTGAGTTTGAGGGGTAAGATCTGAGCTGTTTAAAATTTTCAGATGTTCTGGAAAGTTTAAAGAATTAAGAATGGTTCTGCATTGGGTTTTTTTTAATTGCCTAGTTCTCTTTTGGATTCTGCACTATTCTGCTGCTCAAGACTTCTGGAATTTTTAGGTTTAGAATTTTAGGTTTAGAATAACCAAAGTCTAGGTTGCCACACTGGCACATATCCACATGCTGATGCTGTGTCTCGAATCGAGTTGGCATTGCTGCAACTATCAGCTTACTATGTCCTCTTCTGGGAGAGACAGTAAATTATGTGGACTGTGGATCGCTACCTTGCTCAATTGAATGTGCTGTGGCTCGTCTGCAGTTTAGTCATGCTGGTGTGAAAGCCCACTTGGCCCATTTCAATTTGGCCAATTCTAGCATCTGCCCCACATGCAACACAGAAGACACAATTGAGCATTTCATTTTGCACTGTTCGCTATACATCAATCAGAGGAGGAAGCTTTAGCACTGGTGCACCTACATCCTCATTGCTAGTTTCTCTCAAGGTTTCTTTGTTCCTATAGTTTTGTGATCTCATTGTCTGCAAGTTTGTTGCCCACCATTAAAAGAACTGCATGAAATGAAATGCATTAGCAGAGAGGGAAGCTCAAGTACCAATCCCCCTCCACTGCTTGCTGGACACTGATACCATGAGTTCGACAAGGGCGTAGCTTGCAGCGGAACAGGGGTCCACTTACTTGGTAGCAATAGTTTATACATAGTTTGCTAAATGATCTACCTCATCATTATAGATCAAAATAGCTAAAATATTATTGATCCAACACCAAGAATAGATATCAGTTGAAGATTATCTCAACAGACAAGGCTGTGAGATTCGTGATTATATTTTTAAGATGGTTATTAGAAACTAAGGGCATTTTCCAGGTCCCCCTAACCCTATGTGATTAGGGTTAACCACTGGGCCACCCTGCCATGATGCTAGTATTCCACTATTTTGGTATAAATCCAATGCAGAACTTTTACTGGTGTACACAAGGAATACAGAAATACTTACAAAAAGAATACCTAATGTATAGTTAGTCAAATTTACAGGGGTTTATGACAAAATAATATTTTAATTATAATATTAAGCAATGAATTGGAACAGGTGACAGAAAATACTTTTGAGTTACAGTTACAGTACAACAAGCATCAATAATCTAGTAAATAATAATTATTAACAAACAAAAACTATAATAACAATGCAAACCTCACATTCTAGCTGCTCTCTGTCACGTCTTCCAGTCTCCTAAGTCCTAACTCCTAAGTCCTATTATTCTCCTATACTGGTACTAAATGTACTAGCATCTATCTTCAGGAAAAAAAAACTCAGTACTCACTGCAGTGAGTGACAGAGAGCACATTTTCGTCAACAAAAACGTGAAGTCACGGACCGACCGACGGACAGACACACAGATGGATGGACATAACAAGCACAAATGCACAGTAACCTGAATAGGCATATTTGTCCATAAATGAGCTAAAAAGAGGAGAGGGGAGACTGGGGAGTGGCAAGAAAGCTGCACAGTTCTTGAAAATGAATCTGACCAATATATATCCTGTGTTGTTGTGGCTGTGGCCAGCTTGAAGGTGAAGAAGTAGCTAAAAGATGACCACTCATTACACCTGGCTGGACTCAGCAGAAAGTTTCAGCGTTAAGTGTCAATGATTCTTGAAGGTTCTATTAGCTGGGCTTCCAGTTTTGTTCACAGGTAGATCCAGGGTGGTGCTCATGCACTACAGGGAAGGCAGACAATTTGTTTGCGTTAAATAGGTGATTGTTGCTCTTATTATTGCATGCTGAATCTTTCTACGGAAGTTGCCTGCTCCAAGAAGTATTTGAACAGTTAGATGGTGCACACCTATGCTCAAGTAGTATCAATCAGCACCTGACGCTCCAGGCCGTACGCACTTTTTGCGGTACGCACTTTTACTCATGCTACTTGACTTCTCTACAAAACTTCCTTACTACCACGCACTTATACGCGTGCTACCTGACTTCTCTACAAAACTTCCTTACTACTATGCACTTATACTCGTGCTACCTGGTTTTTCTACCAAAACTTCATTACTACCACGCACTTTTACTAGAGCAACTTGCTTTTTATAACAACAGTTCGTTATTATTACATCATCTGAGGGCTACTCTATTATACTGAAAGTGGTACAGAAAACATTCAAATGTAGATGCTAGTGTAACCCAGTTAGTATCTAGGGGATGCCCTACCTTGTGCCACATACGAGAACCAGTCAGCTAGATAAGGGTCCAGCCTGGGCAGCTCAACCTGGAGCCTCTTGAGGCCAATAGGCCTTGTACAAGTAATATCTAATTCAAGTATGCATACAAGATGGATCTCTTATGAGCAGGGTTCTGAAGAGGCAAAGGATGATGAGGATACATGACAGACAAATAAAGGCACCCTTCACAAATGCAGTCATTACATTAGTCAATTGATCTGCACAGAGCGCCCCTACTTGAGCTGCTGGATGCACCAGTGGGGGGCGTTTATTGAAGATTTGAGATAAGGTTAGTGTCACAGATTGTTATTCACAGTTAGTCTACAAGGAGATGCTTTTTAGGTTTTAGCTAGTTATCAAAATTCTATTTACTATTGGCAACAATTGAGAATACTTTACACTAGGAGTTCCTAAACTAGAATTACATTTGCTTCACAGCATTAATTGCTGTCAGGTAATCAGAAGTGGCTTTGATTATTTTAGTCTGCACCTCCATTGGGAATGGTCCTCCTCCAAGCAAGTTTTTTTATTGTTAAATTCACATTCAGTAGGTAAGGTTAGTGTGTTAGTTAGATTAGTTCTGGGCAGGGAATGCAGATGGCAACGAAGCAATAGGTGATCAATAGTTTCAGCATGCAGGCCACAGTTACACATTGGATTGTCTAGCATCCCAAAGCGAGCCATGTGCGTTCTCACGCCAGCATGTCCGAGCCAAAGTCTGGCAAGTGCTGTCTCAACTAGTCTGGTTTTGTTTCATGCCCATGGCCAGTTCTCTATTTTGTCTTTGATTTGGAGGAGGGATAAGACTGTTCCAGAGTCATGAGTGTCACCAAGCCACTTCTGCTGCCAGTCCTCAACAAAAACAGAATGGAATTTAATTACCGTCTCTTCCTTCGTTATTGGAGTAATGGTACGATACCGTAGGGCATGAGCTGCTGAGGCTGCGTGATTGGCTGCCTCATTCCCAGCAATGCCCCGGTGCCCTGGAACAAACTGGAGTTTGATTTCACGTTGAGTCGCCAGCGCCAGCAACTTGTCTTGGATCTGGAAAACAAGGTGCACATAAGATTGAGGCTTCCTATCTTTGATTAAATACAATGAACTAAGAGAATCTGTGAAGATGGCAAACTTTTCACAGTGACTGAGGTTGTTCTGGGCCCACTCAAGTGCCTCCTTGAGAGCAAAGAGCTCAGCTTCTAGGACTGAAACCTCAGGTCGCAATTTCCAATTATTCAAACTATCGCCAGTCATGAAAAGATCCGGGCAAATAACACGATATTAGATCTTCTGTGAACAAGGCACGAAAAGGAAAAGAATCGGCGACAGGCCACATCAGGCCTACACTTTAGCGCCGACATCACTATGTTATGTTATGTTACTAGCCAGATTTACTAGCCGTCTGCACTATCCCCGTGTACAAGCACCTTCACATTACGCACACTCGCACAGTCAATTATAATTTTTTTGCTATGTCCGGATGTGATTTGGTCTGACTGGCCCGATAATATATAATTATCTTCATGTTCAGTATTGATTAATAACCGGATGATCTTCTTAGGTTTATTTGAGTTGAGGGTCCAAGGGTTTTATCTAGAATCCGAATAAGCGGCAGGTTGATTGAGAGGCGAGTTTCTTAGTTATATATTTACGAACTAGATAGGAATACAAGGAAGCTTGGTGATAAGTACACAAGGTAGGTTTTAGATGGTTACTCTAACGACGGAGGCTACTCGTCGCCGGAGTCTGGCCTGGTCCTGCGGACTACATGATGATGGCTTACTTATACGTCTCGCCTGTGGCTGCCTAAGACTGACTGAAGGTCTGCTCGGGGAGCCTATATAAGCATGCTATAGTGACGTCACGGAAGTGACGCAGTAAGTGCTAACACAAGTATGGGAGTTACGGTAGACAGCCTGACACGTCCCCCTCTTGAAACAGATTCGTCCTCGGATCGGTAATTTTAAAAGTGAGGATCAC